ATATGTATGATGCCGCACTAGTAATGCGCCTACAACGTTTATTGCCAGGATTATGTGTATTTTTCCCATTACCTAACGATATCATTGCTTAATAACTCGGCGAAATAATTTCATCTTATCAGATGTGGTGAAGGCAAAACCAGATAGGCGAATGACCGGGGCAGGCGAGCCGGGATCTGATGCTTAGGAGGGTTGCATCCGCTGAAAGACGCTTTTGATGCAAGGCATCAAGTGATGTGGCAAGCCTTGTTAGGCCAGCTATGTGTGTATAGTGCTCGCTTGAGTAGTTGAAGTAATGTTTGGATAAGGGGTAGATGTGGTGGTGATGGAATAGGAAGAGGAATAGGGAGAAGGAGAGTAAGAGGAATAGGGAGAGTAAGAGGAAGAGGAATAGCAAGAGTAAATAAGAATATATTAGCAAGAGTAAATAACCATATATTAGCAAGAGTAAATAAGAATATATTAGCAATAAAAATAGCAACACTAACACCAACACCAACACCAATACCAACAGCACCAGCACCAGCAAACAGCACCAGCAAGCATACAAAAACCCAAGTCAACAAAAAAGAAGAATATACAACCTCGCAAGAAAGTAAAAACCCATACTAATACTCCCAAACAGTCACCATCACCACTCCCCCATCCATCCACCCCCCCCCTCAATTCCCCTCCCGATACATACTCCACATACTCCTCATCCGCTGCACCTGCAAGTCCGAAAACCCCTCATAACAGCTATCGATACTATAATCCATATAATTATGAATCGGATCGCTCTCCCCCTCCTTCTGCTGCTCCGGACACGACCGCTTAACGGGGTCACGGGGACAGCCATCCGTCGCCGAGCTCTCGGCCGGCGTATCATCAATGTAATCACCGGTGCCCTCGCAGCTGTAGCCTTCAAAGGTATGGAGGAGACCGAGCCAGTGACCGGTTTCGTGGACGGCGGTCTTGCCGCCGTTGTAGCCGGCCATGCTGCCGGCGGGCATGGTGTGGGCGTTGACGTTGCAGCCGTCGGACCAGTAGACGGTCGGGTCTGACTTGCCGTTTGCGACGGCGGAGGGGAGTGTGCATTTGCCGAGGACGCCGCCGGCGAGGTCGGTTTGGAAGTAGAGGTTGAGGGTGTTGTAGGTGCCCTGGCGGAGGGCCTTTTTCATCGCCGTGTCCGGGTCGCCGCCGCCGACGGCCCAGTCGTCGTTTGTGGTCCAGGTGACGTTGATGAGGTTGAAGGAGATGGCGTAGGGGTTGTAGGATTCGTTGAGCGAGTCGAGTTGGGCCTTGGGCATGTCGTCGGTGATGCTGGCCTTGGACGCCTCCTTGGCCACAATGTGGAACACAATGTCGATGGTGAGTGGGGCGGCGTCGCGGGCGAGGAGGGCGGCGCGCGAGGCGGCCGAGCCAGAGGCGGCGGTGCCCCCGTGCAGCGATTCCACCGTCTTGATGAAGTCGTCCGAGGCGTGTGCCGTGTCGGTGCCGCAGTCAAACTTGGCTGTGCTTCTTGCCCTGGCTAGGAGCCCTAGCGAGGCAAGGAAAATAAATGTGCGCATGGGGGGTGGGAGGATGACGACACAGTGCTGGGGTAGCCAAAGGAGCGCAGGAATGGACGTTTTTTCGATTGCTCCAGAAACAGCCTGTGGAACGTTTTGCTCGAGTGCTAGAATGGACTTTGAATTGAAATGTAAGAGTGCGTAGAAAATGATGGCGCTTTGCTGCGAGGATATCGACTTGCATTGTGGTGGGAAGTCTAGTCAGACTTATATCTTGTATCGCGTGGGCAGTCTGGATTCCTAGGTTTCAGAATGTCCATGTGGGTTCATCTTGACAGCCGCGCAACTTTTTGGCTGGCCTGTTCGCGCCCCTCATGCATGCGTCGGAGGCATAAGACCTGTCTTGAAGAAAATATACTCATCGAAAAGGACTGTGAGGATCAAAGGGGCTTTCAATTTGGGCAAGGCGATCGAATTTTCAACGTGGAAATCGGAAGCAGTACAGTCGCGGAACGGGGCGGACATGACCAGTAGTCGACTGCATTGGTAAACATTGAAAAACAGGAACAGGCCATGAAACAATGTCTGGCCGACCGACGCCTCAACTCCAGATCTCCTGACCTCATAGCATACATTGGAAGCAAAGAAACCACGCTTTACTAAAGGAAACGACTCGGCAACGGACCAGACAAGACTGAACGAGGCAACGAGACAGATACACTCGGCCGGCAAAGACGACCGGTACTCACGTTTATGCACCACCAGCACGCCCGGTAGCTGTAGCCGTACTTGGAACATCGTTATTCCACGTTAGGTAGGTATGATCGCCAAGTTTCCTGCAACTTTGTGAGCAATGACAGATCTGTAGGCGTAGGGTGCGATGCGGCTGACCTCGGCTTGATGAGATGAGTGGCAAGGAAGACCGCGCCCAAAAGGATACAGAGACCGCCGACAACGACGTAGGCAATGCCCAAAAACGGATTCCTGCCCCCCATGACGGTGCGTGTGGAAATCAGGATTGATTTGGTGCCGCTATACTTGTCGACAGGGTAGCCTGTGAGACAGCAGTTAGCGCATGTGTTTGGTATTCGTGTCCCTCTGGCTGTTTTCTCTTACGGTCGTAGATGTTGAGCCGGTATGTGCCGGCCTTCATAACGTGCGTGTCGTTCCTCTGTGCCAACTTGCTAAAGGTGGGCAGACCGGCGGTTCTCATCCAGACCTGGAACTCCTCCCAAGTGTGCAGGTCGGGCAACGTGGCGTTGGCATAGCTCCCGTCGACATACTGATCCTGCCAGAATGGTGGAGGCACGACATCCTCTGGATTGTAGCTCGACTTGCCATATAGATCGCCCTCATGACTCCATGATGTTCCGCGTACCGTCATGTTGTAGAATTGGATTTCGTCCCCACCTCCTTGGGCGTTGGCTGCGGTGAAGTTGCCAAAGGTATCATTGAACATGGAATTGGCAATCAGACCACATGGATAATAGGGCTTCCCGTTGGGAGCGATGTCAAGCGGGCCACAGTCGCCATCACGGATATCGGCAACACTCCTCGCGTGACCCTTGAGTTGTTCCGTGTCAATGGACTTTACATATCGGCGGTGGTTCTGGTAGAAGTTGGTGAGGCGGTAGTAGAGGAGCACAGGTGGCTTGATGTCTGTTGGGATGTTGATGCTCAGGATGCAGACGTTGGTATTCAGCGTCTTTCCAGAGGGGAATGTGTGGTCGACCTCGGATCTTCCCCATTGAGGAGCAATCATTGACTTGAAGGTGGTCGAGTATTTGTTCGAGGGCACGTCCCTGAGATCGTTCTCTGCGGTGGGATCAAAGTTGATGGAAGCGCTGGGCGCATCGCGCAGACAGTTGGTGTAGTCGACTGAAAGTTCTTGGACCTGATGGCAGGGAGGGGTGAGTATGAATGCAAGGCTTCGGGTGAGTGTGGGCCTGTCCTACCTGCGCACTAGCATACAGAAGCAGCCCACCGATGGGCGCGAAGATGACGCCGACGATGAAGAAGAGGGGGAGAACGGTTTTGGGGGTTAAGATGGGCCTGCGTCGCGATCAGATTAGCCACAACCCTCAATGTCTTTCTCTCTCTCTCTCCCTCTTTCTGCAGGGTGAATGCAACACGTACTGCCATGCCTTCAGCCGCTGTTGCCTGAACGCGGTATCTGTCGCCTCATTAGCATCGCCATCCTTCTTCACCGTGCCCACATGGGTCGGGTTGTGCGTCGAGTGGTGCCTCGACTCGGCGCGCCCGGCTTACTCGGTGGTCTCCTGCTCTTCGTCTTCTTGCTCTCCTCACGGCTGGGTTCCTGGCTAGAGATCGAGTCGGCCGGCTCTGCCTGGTCGTTGCGCGCCATGATGCGAATTTTCCTATCTATATCCGCGCCGTTCCGCAACTCTGATCTTTTTTGTGGGAGTGGTGAAAGGGTGGCAGTCGATGGCCGTGGTCGCTTGTAGCTGGGGCGCCTGGAGGTTGCTAAGGATGCCGGCGGGAGCGTTTGGGAGTTTCCGCCGATAGCCTAGGCGTTCGTCCCAGTCCCAATGTAGAGACTGAGGCAGCCGCGCCATCAGCCACGCCTACCGAGCTTACGCATCACACACTCAGCATGTTACTCTGCTCACAACCATCCATCTTATATTTGGTAAGCAGCAAAGGTAGTCATCGTCCTAATCGTCGTCGTCGTCGTCATCATCATCTAGAGTCACCTGCAACATCTCATCATCCTACATGGTCAATTTGATCCATTCTGATATAGCTAGCAATCTCAAAACAACAACTCAAGAGGGGGCCGTCGTGTGCGGCGACATACATGAATTCCACCTCGCATCGTCCAGTCGAGTGTGGGGGTATCGCATGATGTAAATGACAAAAAGGAAAGAAGAAGAGCAAAGATCAAAACTCCATAAGAGGGAAGAGCGTGCCCAATCCCGAACATCCCTGTTCATGCCAACCCGTATACCCATACCCAAACGAAGGCGAAATCAAAATCAATAAAGTGACCAAACCAAAACGCCCGTCATGATGAATATGCCGTTGTACAACTTGGTATGCCTAATCTGAAAACGTGAAAAAAGAGAGAGAGAGAGAGAGAGAGAAAGGTCCGTTTGATGGCCATCGAAAGCCATCAAAAGCCATCGAAGGAAGCCGCGCGCTCTCCTCAAAGGTATTGGCGAAAGTAGTCTGGGTTGAACCAGCCAACCTTTTCGTAAGACGACCACAGCTTGCTGGCCTTGTTGACGTCAATCTTGCAAGCCTGCTGCGCATCCGTCTTGCGAAACTCCTTGCCCTTTCTCAACGCCTCTACGCGACCAATGAAGAGCCGGCGCTTGCTGCAGAGGTAGGTTGCGCAAGTGAGGCGCAGAGTGGAGGCGAGGACGAGCTCAGCCTCGTGGAGCCTGTGGCGGTCAGGGTCATTGGACAGATCGAGCACTGAGCCCTTCCACTCCGCCTTGAGGCACTTGTTGTTGTTGGGAAGCGTGGAGAGGGGCGGTGCGTAGTCACAGAGGCTAGCATAGTCGGTATCATCGCGCGTAGTCGCCTGTCTAGCAGGTTTGGAGGATGATTCCGACATGGGTGATGAGTCGAACGAGTCTCGAGTCTGACTCAGCGGGCTGCGCTTGGCCTTTGTGGCCGCGCGGGGGGTGCGCTGGGCTGGTGCGCTCTGGGGGGTCCGTGGAATGGCGACCTTGTTCTTACGGACAGGCATCGATGGCGCAGGCGCAAGCTTCTTCAACGCCGACTGCTGCTGCTGCTGCTGCTGCTTCTTCTTCTGCACACCGGTCGGGCGACCATAGTACTGGTCGAATGCACGCTCCTGCTTCCACCAGCGGGCGGGGTCTTTGGCTGCCGTCTTGAACACGTTGGACTGGAAGGAGATGGCCAATTCGTAGTCGGCGCGAGAGGGCTTTTCTTGTAGCTTGGCATACTCGTGCGATGTCATGTGGGCGGTGATTGTGTCGCGAGCAGCCGGCTCGACGGAGTCGCGGGGAAAGAGCGGCATTTCGGCAACAGGGGCATCGGCAGAGGCGAAGAGGGGCGGGTCCAGGCTGCCTTGGTCGTCTTCTGGGTGCGCCATGTTCTTCTTGGATAGCAAGAGATGTTCGGGAGAGATGGGCGGGGATGCATAGGCATCGTCGCGTTTGGAGGGGGGTGTGCCTGTGGACTTGGGGGCCTCGTCAAAGCTCAGGCGGCCAAAGGAGTCTGACCAGCGGGCAGGAGCCATGGCAGGGTCGAAGGATTCTGTGCGCTTCATCTCGGGGGGCGAGAGCAACGAGGAGATGTGCAGACGATTGCTCATGGGGGTCTTGGAAGGCGAGTTTGCCATTTCGTGTGAATTGGCGGATGGAATGTTTGTGCTTTGTCCCAGAGGAAACGGAAGGGGACAGCACGGGGTCTTATAATGTGGCGGCGAATATAATGTGATTTCCCCACGAGACGGGGCGAGTCCAATTGGGGGGTAGTGATGGCGGCGGTAGCGGGCGTGGAAAGGTGTGGGTGTGAGTGTGGTAGCGAGAAAAGGGTGGTGGGTGTTTGGGTGCAGGTAATGAATGCACGGCGAGCGTTAGTTGCAGGGTGGCAACCAACGACTGGTCTTCGGTCTTGGGTGATGCGGGATGCGGCACGAGGGGGAAAGGCGCGGGTTTGAACGTAACGTGACTGTTGGGGAAAGGGTGGAAAGCGACAGAAGCACAGAAGCTGGCCGAACCCCCAAGCAGAGAGGGAGAGGGAGAGAGAGAGAGAGAGAGAAGGAGATTGGCAGTGGCGGTGCAATTGGTTGTAACTGTGGAGCAATTGGCGTAAATGAGTTGCGTTGCGTGTGTGAGTGTGAGTGTGTGTGTATGTGTATGTGTGTGTGAGTGTGTTGTGGAAAAGGCGGTGGTATAGTGTGGTGTGGTGCAGTGTGGTGTGGTGTAGTGTGGTGGAGTAGGGTAGAGTGGTGTAGAAGGGTATTCGTCGGTCGAGGTGGATGCAGGACACAGACTCTGGGTTGTTGTAGGTAGAGGCAGTGCAGGAGGCACACGGTTACAAGCAAGCAGAAGGGTAGAAGGACAGGAAAAGGGTGTGTGTAGAGGCGGTGCTGGGCAGGACCAAACCCTCTTCTCGAAACCGATGGGGCGGCCCGAGTTTATAACGGAGACCAGGTGGGCAAGGTGCGCCCGGGGGGGTTTCAGCAAGGCAGCCAGAACAGGGACAAAGTCATCTGGCCTGGAGTGAGACACCGCCGCGCGCATGTGCCTAGTCACCAACCTACCCTGCCCTGCCCTATCCTACCGTATCCTACCGCCCACACCTCTCTTCCACACCTCTCTTCCACACCTCTCTTTGTGTGTATGATGTGGATGTGGGTGTGGGTGTGTCCGTGTGTGTCTGTGTGTCTGCGCATGTGTGTGTGTGTGTGTGTGTGTGTGTGTGTGTGTGTGGTTACTGGTAGGCGCGAGCGGCGGTGGACGACCAACCAGGGAAGCCTTTGACCCCATCCTGGTGCCTGCTGTCCACGGCCGGGAGGCTGACGAATGCGAATCTGGGGGAACTGAGTCGAAGAAAAGGGCGAGCAACAAGCACACTCGTTCGTAGCACGTCCACACACACACACACACACACACACACACACACACACACACATAGACCAATTTGTTGGCTTCCATTGGCTGCCGTACATTGGGGCTGAGTACATGGTGCGCGTGCAATTGATGAATTGGGAGGGTGAGGAGTCATCCTCCATTGCTTTGGGCACAAGCAAAAAAACAAAGGGCATCATGGCATGTCATCATCCCACGCCTCTCTCTGGCGCTGGCAAGTCCAATTTCCAGCATAGCGCGCAGCATCGGTACTTGGTATCAATCGGCCCACCAGCAAACGTCCGAGTAAGACAAAAGAGGAGAGAGCTCAGACGAGTCCGTGGGTGTGTGCATTGAATGGAGGGTGGAATTGAATTGAATTGAATTGAATTGAATCAAGTGGAGTGCAGTGCAGTGCAGTGCAGTGCAGTGAGTCGCGTTGCCAGTACAAAGCCAACTACGGCACCTAAGCAGGTACCTAGAGGCCAGCAAGAGGTCGATGCATACGGTGCCCGAACCACTGTGCGTGCACGTGTGCACACAACCCTCTGCTCGAGTCCCCTTCTCTCTCTCTCTCTCTCTCTCTCTCTCTCTCTCTCTCTCTCTCTTCCCGCCCCCCTGCTCATGCCATTGCCACCTTGTACTCGGTACATAATCCTCCACCCTCACCTATCCACGTCGCCTGTTCTCATTGCCTGCCTTGAATGCGCATCATCGCATCTCCCGCTCTTGCTACTCTACTGCTGCCGCATTGATTCATGCATGCCTTGCTCCCCAGCAATTGGGCCGCCCCAAAGCCCTCGACGTGTCACAGCGCCTGGCCTAATCATGGTCATAGTAACAGTACCAGAAAAACGCAGTAGCTGTTTACAAGTAGTTGGCTGTAGAGTAGTTGTCGTTGTAGTAGTACTCATCCACATGAACCCCCCAATTCCAACCCGGCCACTGCTGCCGTCATCTCCGCACATCCTGACCGCTCGTCAAGGCAGATGGGGCTAGGTATTGTAGGTACACAACAGGTGGTTGGTTCCACATCCATCCGTCCACTGTCCACATTCCATCAGCAAGCAAGCAACCACCAAAGCCAGCTCGCTGGTCCACCTCCCCAATTGACCTCGCAAAAGAAACTCAATGGCAGAGCGAGGGCTTGCACACGGCTGCTGCTGCGGCTGCTGCTCCATGGCTGCTCCCGAAGTAGCCGCCCAGGTCGCCTCGTCTCAACTTGTCCGGTGATGGGTCTTGGTCTTGTGACATGGTTATCAGCGCCACCACTACGGAGCCGGCCAGAGGGTTCAGGGCAGTCGGTTGTGACTTGCATCGCCCCTGCTAGACGAACCAGACCATGCCTGCATTCTTTGCTTCCTCCACCGTCATTGTTCTTTGACAGGTTGCATGTGAAAGCGGCTCTAGGCTCAGCAGGACACCACGGACCAGGACAGATGCCCCAGCACACCCACAATCCCATAGAGTTTCCCCCCCCCCCCCCCCGGAATTCCCACACCATGACGGCATTGCGCCTGGTTCTGCTTGCGCAATGCCTAGCACAAACGCTCACGAGGCCCATCGCTCTACACACCACCTTCGCGACTTTTGGGCCTGGAGAGAGGTCATCCATCACCCCATACCCCGGCTTGTCTGGGCCCGTGTCTTATCGTTATCGGCCATGTGGGGTTTACCCCTCAACTCGCTCGCTCCATCAATCCCCTTCCAAGCTTTGATCCATTCATTCATTCACTCATTCATTCAACTCGCGCACTGAGCGGCCGGATGGGTTCAGCGCTGTTGCCGCTCTTTGTTTCAGGAATGCACAAAGCCGCCAATGACCGTCGTCCCGCGGTTGCCTGTCAGCGTCAGACCAAATGGCCCATTGACCAACTGTGTACCAACTAGGTGCAATGCCTTGCTCAAAGGTACCGTGCCCCTCCCCTCCACACTCATTCTGCCGCCTTAGCAACCCAGCCCGGAAATCCCCTTTCGTCATCCAGAGTGGGCATCAATTGATGATGAGGGGTTGCCGGCGAACCATGCGCGTCAGTCATCGACTTGTCCTCGTTGACGTGCTCACCACATCCTCCAATGGCTGTGGAACACAATTGCCGTTTGGGATACATCGGTTTGGCAGCTGGTCTAGCCATGTGCGCCGGCCATGTTCGTAGTGGCGATCGCCAGACCCAAGGCTGCACATGATCCCGATAGGCCAATGCTGGCAGATGACCCTGTCGTTCGCTGCCCTGGCTCGGGAGCATGGCAGATGGGACCGATGAGTCCCTGCAGCCCTCCACGCTTACAGCTTGTCGTCGTCCATCATTGCCAGTCGCACCATCTCGTTTCGACAAGTCTGGACAACACTGCTCTGCGGGTCCTGTCATTACCACTGCGTCACTGGCGTCAGGCCTAGAGGCACGCCTCGTACCACTGTGGCAGGTCCATGGACATTGTCTGACGGGAATGCCTGAAATGCCTGAAATGCCTGAAATGCCTGAAATGCCTGAAATAGATTGAATGCCCTTGCAATCGTCCCCGGAATAGTCAGAAGCCAGTAATGGGTTGACGAGCAAGTTCCAAGAATGTTATGAATAAACAATGATTAAGGATGACGGTTTAGGCAGCCTTGCCGGTAGAAAGAGTAAGCAGCAGTGTCGGACGAAATTGGAATTGTCTGGCCGAGAATGACGCTATCACATTGGTCCAGCCAAGCACACGATTGCGTGAGCTGGCGGGAGTCTCCGCTTTCACCGGACTGTTTGCTTGTTTACCTGTCACGAAAACAGAAGAGGATATGGTTGGGCGCCAAAGTAAGTGGCAGTTGCTGAACAATCAATTGACAACTGTCGACCTCCACTTCCCCCCGAGGCCAGACCACAGCAATCGATAACGAAACCGCATCTGAATCGCAGGTGGACCCTGATCTACGCCCATTTCACGTGCCCGCACGCTATCCCGCAACTTCCCTTAACCTTAAACCAACCTTTGCTTGTTCCCGTTGACGTCATTATCAACCCATTCGAGGAAACAACGCACACGATGCCGTGCTGGGAGCAGGGAGCTTGCCTGCGATGCCATTGACAACAGCAACACTGCCCACGGCCCGCCAATTCGTGACACAATTGTTGAACTCGCTGTCAGCACTATCCTTGACCGAAGATGCTGCCGCTGCTTCCGTTGCTGTCGGGAATCCACTACAGAACGCGTCGGATCAGGTGAAGAAGCAATTCCTCGCCCTCCAGGTCCTATTCCCAAATGAATTCATACCCGCCTTGGATCTCCTCGACCGCCGTCTCGTAACGCGATTTCACATCTGCAATGCCGATGACAACAACGAGGAAACCAACAATGATCGGACAAGCGACACCAGCGCGCAGCAAAATCACCCTCGACAGCAACATCCTCGATCCCCGACTACAATCCAGCAAGACCACACCATGACTGATTTCAATCCCGACCAGCTCCCGAGCCCCGACACCGAGATCCCACTACCCAACCCTAATATCCATAATCCCACCACAAACACGATATACTACGTCCAATCCGCCGCCCCTCCCCGCCCCACCCGCTTCTCCACCTCCATCGACACGACCATCTTTTACCAAGTCCGTCTCACGGCTTGGAATTGCTCATGTCCGGCTTTTGCATTCAATGCTTTTCCCGCCGACATCAGTAGTATTCCCAACTCCAACACCACACCCAACCTTTCTCACCCCGCCTTCATACCCACGCCCACAACACAATCCCCAACCCTCTTTGGCGGCGTCAGTCTTGATATGGGTATGCCACCCGTGTGCAAGCATTTGCTGGCTTGTGTGTTGGCGGAGAAGTGCGATGGCTTGTTTGGTCGCTTTGTGTGTGAGAAGAAGGGGGGTGTGGGGGAGGCGGCGGGGTGGGCGGCGGGGTGGGGGGAGTGAGGGTTTGGGTTGGTGGGTGGATGGATGGAAGGAAGGATGGATGGATGGAAGGATGGATGGATGGATGGATTGATAGATGGATAAATGGAAAACTCGAGAAATACATCAAGGCAATATCCCTAAACCCTTGAAATCCCCCATCCCACTACCCAACACATCTCACACCTAGCCGTACATCAAGGCACCACGACAAATTCTACACATGAATATTCCAAACACATTCAAGTAAATCGACCTGACATCTACCCATTTCAACACCCCATCCATCTCGCCATTTTCATCCATTCCTTTTCTCTCCCGCGGAATAGTGGGAGAGGAGAAACTGTGTTTTGGTATCAGGTGCGATGGGGTAGGACAGGACAGGTCAGGACAGGACAGGAAATACGTTTCTACATCCCTAGAGTTTATATGTCGCTTGTTTGGCGGGTGGGTTGAAAGTACATAACACACACACACACACACACACACACACACACACACACACACACACACGCACACACACACGTTCAAGGGGGTGCAAACACGATGCCTCTGTCCAACATGGCGCTCTATTTTCTTCCCAAGAGTATTATTCTTCATGCATACAATCATACACATTCAATGCCCACATCACAGGAGAAGTATCGGGACGGAAAAGAAGGACAAAAAGGACAAGGACAAGGGACCACCACATCCCCCCATCCCCCAACCCTCTCATTTCTTCTTCTCCCCCTCCTTGCCCTTTTCCGCCTCCTTCCCCTCCGCACCCGCCTTATCCTCCTTCTTCTTCTCCTCGCCCTCCTTGGGCTCCTCCTTCTTCGCCTCCTTATCCTCGGCCTGCTGTTTATTCTGAATCTTATTTTCAATCAGGTCGTGAAAGGCGGTAATAGCGCGAATCAGACTGGACAGGTAGATTGCCATGAGCTGGTCGTTTGTCTTGATGCTCATGGCGCGAGCGAGTTCGCCATTATCGAGGGCGGCAGCTTGCCCGGCCGCGGCGCCGATGCCGTTGGTGGTGCCGGCGACGGGTGTCGGCTTGGGGGAGGAGAGGTTGGGGAGGAGGTTGAAGACGTCTTGGAGGATGCCGAGGATGGCGTGGTTGACGGGTAGGTCTTCGTCGAGCACTTTTTGCAGGTACTGGCCAATGTCGCGTAACCGGAGGTGCAGGCCTTGGAGGGATTGCAGTTGTGAGGTTATGCGTGTGGAAAGGGTGCCGACAGCTACGTCGCGGATGTCGCGTAGGAGGTGCTCTACGCCAATTTCCTCTGCTTCTTCGGCTTCGATGATGGAGGGGGTGTGTACGAAGGTTTTTGAGGTTGCTGTGCCGTCCTAGATGTTTTGTTAGTTCTCGGCTTTCGATCTTCTTCATGTCATCAAATTCATAGCGCAATTGCCGTGGCTGTGATGTGACAGATTTACGTACATCCTTGATCTCCTCCACGGCAAAGTAGGCATCCGTCGGTACGCCAACCTCCTTTGGCTGCACGTCGATGATGACCAGCAGTGGGTTTGGCGTGTATCGCTTGAACAGCTCGTTGACCTCCAAATCTGACGCTCGCAGCTTGGGCCCTGTGTGATACCAGCCGATGAGCTTCTCCCGCGCGTTGACCTTCTTGAACATATCGTTCATCGACTCGACGTAGTTATGGTCCAGGAACCATACTGAGGGGTCCTTCTCGTCCTCTTCAAAGGGAACTAGGATGGTGTCAGCTTGTTATAACTCCGCCTTCCAGGCCGCCACTGTCCGTGCATGGCAGAGGCGGCAAACAAAGTCGTGTGGGGAGTTTACCCACCAGCGAAACTGTTCGACACCCGGACATTCTTTCCATCGTTCTGGCCCAGCAGCACACCGACTACTCGTTTCCGTGATCCTTTTGCTTGTCGGCCGTAGTGATCTGCTGCGGAGAGGAGCACGAGGGGCGCGACCGAGACGTTGCGGGTCACAAGTGACAGCGTCTCTGCTGTGGTTGCGGGCATCTTTGGGGTGCGCACTCAGTGTAGGCCGAGGTTTAGAGAGGATTGATCCGGGGTTGAGGAGTTTGGCGGGTGTACGAGTGTGTGCTTTGGTGAGGGGCCGAGTTGCGATGTTGTTGATGCGCCTCTTATTATCAATGTCGACTAACTCAAGCTTTCGGAACTGTGAGATGTTCAGTGGCCAAAGCTCCACGCTAGGCAGTCGAGCAGTGCGTCAGTGTCACAGTGAGCGATATGGGCCATGCGCTTTGTTGCAAAATAAGGTTTTTGGATAGTTGATGATTTAAGCTGTTTCATCCTAGTAGATGTATTATTCAAAATGGTTTAATTGCTTGGTATCTTCGAAAGCTGCAATAAAAAGTGTACTGTAAACGACGCCATGCGCATCAGATCAAGCCAGTGATCCCAAACGTCTGAGCCCAATCATACAAAGCGCAGCGAAAAAAGAAGTCGATAGCCTAAATGGCCTGGGAAATCACAGCGTCGCTGTTGGAAAGTAGTACTGATCCCAGAGAAACTCGTAGTCCTCAATGACACCACCAACCATGTCAAGAAGTGGCTTGTTCTTGAGCTTGCGCGTGATAGAATGTATCCAGCCCCTATCAGCCGTTAGCTTCAACATGACATCTGCATCGCATGTACGTACTTGGTAATGTTCTCATAGAAGGCCCCACGCATGGCCCACCAGCCCATTTGCCAGCCGCGCTTCCTTAGCTCCTCACGCTCCAGTCCAGTCAACCCACGAAGCCCACCAGCTAGTCGTTCCTGGAAGTCCTTCTTGGCAAGTTGTCGGGCACCATACTCGATGCTGACACCAATGAGCCATGGCCGCCAGCTCTTCCTGTCGCCCTTGAAGTGTTGCATAGCGAGAGCGTAGGCGACCGGTCGGAGAATGTATAGTACTTCTGCAAGCTCGCCCTTTCCACTGACACGGTGAAGCAGTGCCTTGGGGGGTTTAATGTCGTCTGCAGTGAGCACCTTGGAGAGGAGGTAGTTTGAGATGTCTGACGAGTCCGGCAGGCTGGGCATGGAGAGTCCTGTCCTAGGCATCGTCCAATTCTCCGCCTCTACCGAGCGCTCACTGGGTGGGGTATCCATACCATCGGCCGCAGCAGACTGCTCCTCGAGAGAACTTGGATCGACCTCCCTTTGTGGAAGTGGCGGCGATAGCAACGGTCGTGAGTTTGTCAACCGTAGCAGTAGTAATCTACACACTGCCTTGACTATCTCCAACAAGACGACTACGCGCCACCGCATCTTCTCACCCTTTCGCTTCGCAGCCATCTCCCACAGTAGCTCTGTGTATTGGATCATCTGCAGGACTATTGCAATACGCTTGTATGTGGGAGACTTCTCGATCCAGAACTTTGTATATCGGTGGTGCGGGGTCAGCGGCTGTCGTCGCGTTCCGGGCATTTGTGCCATGGCTTTTGAGAGGAGAGAATCATGATATAGGGAGAGTATTTGAACGCCGCTGTGCACTGTACTTCTGTCAGCATTTCCATCTCATCATGCCTCTGCTGGTATCCACCAACATACATGATTCTGACGCAATTTCGGACTCCCGGAAGCGGCCTGTTCAAGATTAGTATCTACAGCGGTTTCTGTGAACTTTTGGATCTTACCGGGGATGATGTAGGTTAGCGATCGCAATGCAGACTCAATCTGCGACACTGCGCTGCTGTTCTTGGTGATGAAGTCCGAGTACATGCCCAGCCATCGCGGAGGCAGCGACAACACCTCGCTCGTCTTTTGCGTCGCCTGCTTGTACATTGTCGAGGTCACGCCAGTCCGCGGTGGACTGCGATGGTGATAGTGGGCGCCGAGTGGATGTTGGCGGGAGGTGTCACAAGGGGGCTGGCGCGTTCGACGTGGTGAAGTCATCGTGCCGAGGTCCAGGATCCCAGTGTTTCCTCGGACTGTCATGCACCACTTTGGTCATTGAAGTACCGTGAGAGCATGTCTTTACATTGCATCCGTGAACTTGCTACAGTAAAAGCTGTCGCCTTTATCTTGATATCTACATGATTCAACAGACATTCTCGCGCTTTCTCCTCAGTTTTGTACTAATGCCAGTCACACTGCGGTTCCACACCACTGCAGCCATGGCCACACCACGTGGATATACAACAAGGCGGCCCTGAAGCCCTCTCAGTAATCATCAGATCACCGGCTAGGAATTCAAACTTATTACAAAATCTCTATTGCCATCAACTCATCTCTTCCAAAGGGCACTTGTCGACCCAAAATAGGCAAGGTTCTTCAACATGTGACTACGCGTTGACTAAAAAACATACCCGCGACACGACACGACTCGAGTCCACTCATAGTTCGCTCTCAATCTCCAACTGCGGTGTCGAGAACTCGAAAATCTTCCTTGTTTTCGTCTCCACCGCAAAAACGAAACAGACGAACCCACAAGCAACATAAACTACAAACTTATCTCACCTGTTCTCCCACCTGCCTATACTTTACAGCCACTTCCCCTCCTCATGGCCCCTCCCCTCCTCATGGCCCCTCCCCTCCCCATCCTCCCCATCCCCCCATCCTCCCTCCCCCTCTTCACCGCCATAAACACCTACGTCCACACCTACATGTCACAATACGACAACTCCCACGACTACGCCCACATCCTCCGCGTCCTCTCCAACACCCACCTCATCCACACATCCGAACTCCACATCCACCCAACCACGCCCTACGACCCCACCGCCCTCTACCTCGCCGCCCTCCTCCACGACGTCGGCGACCACAAATACGCGACCCCGGACCAAGACAGCGAAGCCTACATCGCCACGCTCCTGCAACAGCACGGCGCGCCTGCGGCCCTCGCGCACAAAGTTCAGGATATCGTGACCTGCGTCAGCTACTCGCATGAAGTGCGCAACCCGGAGAAGGTGCGCGTCATGCTGCAGAAGCACCCGGAACTGGCGATTGTGCAGGATGCAGATCGGTTGGATGCGATTGGGGCGGTGGGCATAGGGCGGTGTTTTTCGTTTGGGGCGGCCAAGTTGCCGGAGCAGGGGATGGAGAGGGTGGTGGCGCATTTTGCGGATAAGTTGTATCGGTTGGAGGGGATGATGAAGACGGAGTGTGGGAGGGAGATGGCGGGGAGGAGGACGGAGGTGTTGAGGGGGTTTGAGAGGGAGTGGAGGAGCGAGGTGGAGTTGAGTTTTGAGTTGAGTTGACGTAGGGGCAGAGGTGGCTGAGTGTGCGTGTATATGTGTGGATGACGAGGAGCAGGAGGAGCTAGATATTTCATCAATTACGAGACATGTAGATTTCCCCAATGATTTCCTCCATTGCAAGGAGCTCTCATTTTCTCCATCCCTACCTACACCTCACAACAACATGCATCCCCATGTCACCTTGGAAATTCCAAATCGGCTTCGCCCAACACTCCCCCCAAACCCCAACCACCTCCTCCCCTCGGACAAACTCACACAGCACCACACTCTCCTTGTCCAAATTCACATAGATCCTCCCCTTCCCACCACAACAACCTCGCTCCTTCTCTCCAAACCCAAACAAGTCCAACGGTAATCACGTCCCGCCGTCTATCCTCGCGACTTCAAACCGCGCTTCGCGATTCACGGCGAATAAAACCGGGTAGATCCTCGCGTGGGGAAAAAAGCGCGGTATGATTTCGTCTCCTGACCCAGTCCTGTACAGGCGAATACAACCTCGGCCTTCGCTGAACGATATCGCCGTCTTGAGGAACGAGTCGGGGATTGCGTATGCCCAGATCTTGATGCGTAGTTCATAGGGAAGGTGGGGAAAGGGGTGAAAGGTGGGTGTGGACTGGGTTGCTATCGTGGGAAGAGAGAGGTGTTGCGGGAGGTACGACATGGTCATGGAGTTAGAGTTTTGATTGAGATGGGCCATGGTGAAGAGGTGTGCTGGGATGGTGAGTTCTTATGGTGAGGAGAAAAAGCAACGAGGTACGTGTCACTCCTACGACAAGAGGAGAGATCCCTTGAAGACATGGCGTAAATCGAGGCGCAGGGGCACTGACAGATGTGGACAGCCTCTAAGCAAGTTTAAATGTTGCCAGGTGCCTATCTAGAACTGGCAAGAGAGTTTGTTTTTCATTCACATATGTGACCCTCGTCGTTTGTAGCCTGTATCTGCGACATCACTGGAGGGCTGTAAGATGTTCGAGTATAGCGTCATCTGTATGTTGGCTATTGTTTAGTCTTCTCTTTCGAGACATGCCTGATGCCACTTTTCGCAATCTCGAATTCTGTTCCTCTCCCTTCAGAAGGCGGGGTCCACGGTGCGAAGACAACCTTGAACCATCTTCGCCACTTTGAGATATGTGTATCTTCTTCATTCCACTGGTCTTCTCCATTGACATTGTGGATCAAAGGCCTGTTTGCAAAGACAGGTAGCTTGAGAAGAGCTATTCGACAAGCTAGTTGATTCGTCCAGACGAGCCCCAACGACGGTGTTTTCTGAGCATATGATGGTTCGTGCTGTAAATCTCCCCACCCGGTAAACCATCGTTGCTGATGGTCCAACGTTAAAGGATCAGGAGAAAGCGTTATATCTTCTTCAAGCTGGGAAGCTGTACCCAACGGCAGAGGCGTATTTTCATGCGAGGTTCCCTGACTATTGCTAGAGGCCGTGCGTACGTTACCCTGGCTGTTGCTTGAAGTGGTACGAGAGGCAGAGAATGTAGGAGGTTTGCTGAAGCGATCTGCCACTTGGTTCGCAACCACTACTGCGACCCCTTCAGTACGCGCGAGGTCGCGCAGCAAGGCTCCGAGCTGTACTAGCTGAGTGCCTCGCTTGGCCATGGAGGCAGCGGCACCATTGGGCCCTTTCTTCTCAAATTCGGCACGATAATTTGCAGCAACAGAGTCAAGGATGACAAGACCAACATCATGTTTTTTGACAGCGACAGGAAGCTGATAGCGCAAAATATGTTCCTGCGACTCAAGATCAGGGGTCTGTATGCTGAGGATACGCGATAGCGAGGGTCTCTCAGCAACCGGGCGTGATGCAAGGGCTGGATGATTGGAGAGCAGCTGGGTAAGACGAGTAGTTGCGAGCACTGCTTCAGTAGAAATGTAGATGGCTGATTTGCCCAGACCGAGCGGAGGCGGCAATTGGGAAGCAAGCAAAAGGGTGAGTAGTACTTGCGTCTTGCCGGCACCACTTGGTATTATGAGTACATGAGATGGTCCAAGAAAGACGACGGCAAGCAACAAACGTACCTCTCGCCAGTGATTTCTACCAAATAGCCAGGAGGGATTCCGCCACCCAAAGCAGCATCCAGCTCCTCGTCCAAAGTGCTGATGAACCCTAGCCGTTCTTTGGAAACGTCTGGGTTGTTGGTAGATGAGGCAAGGAAGGAGGAACTACCGGCGACTTCCCCTCCTCCGAAACCGAGTTGCCGGTGAAGGGCGAGGAGGACAGCATCGGCGAGTTTCCTCAACTCAGCAGCTGGCAGCTGGGCGCGCTTGGCCACATCAGCAGCGTCGAGAGTAAGGAGATCATTGGTGGTGATGAGGGCTTTGTCGAGCGAGGGTAGTAGATGTGAATATGGTCTTGCGTCCAAGTCAGGCAGTATCTGCAGCAGGTCGGTCATGGGCGACCAAGGTCTAGCATCTGCGCGGCTCTGCGGATGGCACGCGCAACCGTGGGTATTGTACCGGTAAGCGGGCCAGAGGTGTCGGAGAGCTCACAGAAGAGGTGAGTCCAAGAGCGCAGTGGCGGTATTGGCGCGGGGTGACGATATGCTGCGAATAGTATGCCCAGGTGTGTAGGTAGCGGTACCATAGTACTGTGTAGAGTCGGCAGAGTAGGCAGAGTAGGCAGAGTCGACACAGTAGGCAGAGTAGAGTAACGTTAGTGGGGGTTTCCGTTTCTCCGCGCCCGACGTCACCGCGCCCAGGCCGCATGGAAGCTTCGATCCCCGCTTTCTGCTCCCCACGCCCAACCTTGGCTCTTGGAATGGCAGACCTCAGCCACTGAGCCAATCCCTTTCTTCGTGCGGTACACAGGACAAGACGCGCCTAGAGATTGGCACTCAAGCTGCCTCTGACTACTAGGAACACAGTAACTGTTGTAGAGTGCAGCTTCTGAGCAATGACCGCATACCACAGTACAGCCGGTCATAGCAGTTCATCGCCCTTTTACCAGCAGCTATCTGCATTTGTATGCCATGGACATCACAGCTAGCTATCCAGAATCAGAATAGGATCGTCTATTTCTCCAATCAGACAGCCGGCTAATTGTTCTTCAAGGCACGCGACGGCGCCCTTCGCCGTTACTTTATAAGCTCTCGCTCTACCACCGACGCTTCCACTCGTCCGTGAGCTTGCCATCTGATTTCCACCAGGGTCGCTAGTAGTTACCGGTACACCTCGGACCAGCCTTGCGCTATCTGCTGTATCCTCTTGACCGAATCAGTCCAGCACTTGACACTTTTTCACTGCCGCAGAGATTTTCCGGCTCTTTATCCTCAAATTTACTGGCTCGTGTACATGTGTGGAAAGGGCCCAGACAAAGTGTAGTGAGTAACCCATACAGTTCTGTGACATTGACCGTGCAGTTGAAAAATCCCATCGGCGGAACCCGAAAATACCATTGCATCCCCATATACATGGGCCCACGCTACTGGTAAGTTGCATTTCCTTGCATGGGCGCCTCGTTGGCTCACGCTGTCGGGTCATTCACCTCTCTTGTCTAATGGGTACGGGTCACGTTCCGGCTCAGCGGTCGGCTACTCAAGCAGCCTCTTGGATCTTCATGCTCGTTAATACCAGCCTGTACCGCCTTTCACATGCCCAGCTGTCAGCCAGACCCACCCTTGAGCCATGCCTCCCTTTCGTCCTTGTCCTTATAAGAGCTGTCCCATCCTCGAGCAGCTTCCGCTCTTGGCGAACCACTCGTGTACTCATGCCGGCCTACTGTTTTCAAGACTGCCACTACTTTTACCGTAGTGCTTTGCGGCACTTGAATATTGCCACCTCCATCTCGCCTCTTTACGCTTAACTGACCTTGCCATGGCAGTCCGCACCTTCACTCAACCCTCATCTCTAGAAGATACCTTGGCATCAGCCGCTAAGATGTCGACGGTCCAGGTGACTGGCACAGAGCGGTCTGAAGCATCCGCCAAAGAGAGCACTCAATCCTTCTCTGCTGAAGCACAGGCACCACTAGCACACTCCACGAACCCGAATTCCAAGCCGGGCATTACCTTTGCTCACCAGGACAGCCTTCCAAAGCTACCCATTCCGGAGCTTGAGAGCTCCTGCAAGAAGTACCTTGCCGCTTTGAAACCTCTACAGTCTCCAAAAGAGCACAACGATACCGTATTGTCGGTGAACGAATTCCTCAAGTCGGATGGCCCCATACTGCAAGAAAAGCTTAAGAAATACGCTAGCGGAAGGAACAACTACATTGAGCAGTTTTGTACGTAAATTCGATGGACTATTCGGAGCTCATGCAGCAAGCGGCAGCACCTGGGATTGTCGTCATCCTTCATATTCCAGGCACATGCGCTGACCATTTACTAGGGTACGATTCGTATCTGAACTTTGACAATCCCGTGGTTCTTAATCTAAATCCGTTTTTCCTACTGGAAGATGATCCCACACCAGCACGCAACAACCAGGTCACACGTGCAGCCTCCCTAGTCGTATCGGCACTTTCTTTCGTGAGAGCTGTTCGTCGAGAGGAACTACCACCTGACACCGTGCGCGGTCAGCCACTTTGCATGTACCAATACTCGAGATTGTTTGGCACAGCCAGAATCCCTACAGAACATGGGTGCCAGATCGGTCAGGACCCAACATCAAAGCACATAGTCGTCATGTGCTATGGACAGTTCTACTGGTTCGATGTTCTGGACGACAACCATGATTTGATAATGACGGAAAAAGACATTGCACTGAATTTGCAAGTCATCGTCGAAGACGCCCAGGAAGTCCCAATCCAAGAAGCCGCGAAAGGAGCTTTGGGCGTGCTCAGTACAGAGAATCGCAAAGTCTGGGCTGGACTGCGAGATGTACTCCACCGGGAGGATAGGTCCAACAACTCCGACTGCCTGAACATTGTCGATTCTGCCCTATTTGTACTTTGTCTCGATTATACTGAGCCGCAGACAGGAGCTGATCTTTGCATGAATATGCTATGTGGTACTAGTAAGATCGAGCGTGGCGTCCAAGTGGGCACATGTACGAACCGCTGGTATGACAAGCTACAGATCATTGTGTGTAAGAACGGGAGTGCAGGTATCAATTTTGAACATACTGGCGTCGATGGTCATACTGTACTTAGATTTGCTTCTGACGTATACACGGACACGATCCTCCGTTTTGCCAGGACGATCAACGGAAGTGCACCTAGCCTCTGGGCTTCCTCAAGTCCGGACCCTGCGAAAAGAGATCCTGACAGCTTTGGAGATGTCCAGACCACACCACATAAGCTCGAGTGGGACATGTTGCCTGAACTGAGCACAGCGTTGCGGTTTGCTGAGACCCGCTTGGCAGATCTTATCCAGCAAAACGAGTTTGCAACGCTCGAGTTCCCCCACTACGGCAAGAACTTCATGACTTCGATGGGCTTCTCACCGGACGCATTCGTTCAGATGGCCTTTCAAGCAGCCTACTACGGTCTTTATGGTAAAATAGAGTGTGTTTATGAGCCAGCTATGACGAAGGTGTACTACCACGGTCGCACTGAAGCTATTCGTCCCGTCACAGATGAATCGGTGGAGTTTCTGACAACCTTTTGGGGCGAAAATCCAGCAGCACAGAAGATCGAGGCGCTTCGCAAGGCGTGCCAGAAACACACAGAGAATACGAAAATCTGTGCGAAAGCTCAAGGACCTGACAGACACCTGTACGCACTGTACTGTATCTGGCAGCGCTCAATGGACGAGTCTGCAGACTTTGCTAGTAGCGACGGCTGGGACTCTACACGGCCTTCAAGTCCCGAGGCATCTGCAGTTGGTTCACCCCAACGCAACTCGGTAGTTTCTGAGAACGGAAGTATGTCGAGCTCATCGCCACCGCATATGCAGCATTCCATGCCTGCGCTTTTTGCAGACAGCGGATGGGACAAGATCAACACAACCATTCTCTCAACTTCGAACTGTGGTAATCCATCCCTTCGCCAATTTGGCTTTGGCCCGACATCTGGTGACGGTTTTGGTATCGGGTACATCATCAAAGATGGCAGCATCTCCATCTGTGCTTCCTCTAAACACCGACAGACATCGCGATACATCGATGCCCTTGAGTCGTACTTTTTGGAAATCCGCAAGCTACTCCGCCAGATCAAGCGGCGTGGCACCTCTGCAGACAAAACTGCATCGCGCGCACGCGAAGCAGAGAGCCGACCACTAGCGAACCGTGTCAAGAGCAGAGGCCGGATCATTCTAGGTGATGCCGCCGGAAAGCAACAGACGCCTACTGAAAGTATCGTTGATGACGAAGATGACGACGGACTTGGTGGATGTAGGACTCCCCCTTCCCCTCCTTCTCTTAGCCTTGATGAAGTCTCGAAGTCGTCGTTTCCCCGTATTACTCTACCACCTACCCCACCCAATTCTCCCCCTTTCAAGCCCATGACAGCGGTGTTTGTGAGCTCTCCGGCCCGTCCTACGCGTGTAAAAACAATACGGACAAGACGGTCCACCATTCCAGCTGCTCGAAAGCCAATTTTTTACACGTCTTGATTCTCATCTTTGTTTGATGTTTTCTCCCGTTCAAGTTTGCGCCCAATCATGTTTCTTTAAGCTTTTCCTCTTACCTTCGAGACTTCATTGACATCACTATCTGCCCTCATATCACCCAACTTTTCTCTAACCATTATTTTCATTTGCTGATTCTTATCTCTCATTTGTAGATGGCTTCTTCGATGCAGGCATGCTACGACAAGCACTCAACGCAAACCGGGAAGCTGAGCCCCTGGTCGAGCGAGATGTTGTGCGCAGGAACATTGGCCGGAGACTCAGGTTGGCGGAGTACTAGGCCTAGAGTGGGGAATCATCCGAATGTGATCATGGATGGAGGAACGGGGACACGAGCATATACATGAGCTAGACGCGCCATATGCGCGGGATAGATGGATGTGGTGATTTGAGTAATTGGTAGCAGGTACATTTAATGAAATGACTTGGATAATACATGTATGTACGAAATATCGCTCTCCGCAAATCATACTACATTTTGTGACGGCGTTATTGTAAACATAGTGTTACGGCTTTCTCCGAGATGTAGATAAACCCATTTTCAACCATCATATTTCGTTGGGAGATTGCATTGCCCAACACAATATATACGAAACAATATTGAATACACCTTAGATTGCAAGGGTCTCCATATACGATACTGGACACTGAATTACGAGTCCGACTTGCTGTTTGTAGGGGTATCGATCCTGGATGTTAGGTAGTTGGAGACATAGGTATAGGACTTTGTGAACGGTGTCTCTATCTAACATTCTATTTTTATAACTAGGATACAGTATAGGAAATGAAGGGGAAGGGGACGGGCGATTAGGGTGCGTGAATAGTTGGATATGTGAGGCGGGGCATGTGGCTAGCAGTGGTGGGAGTAGTGAGTCCTAGGTCAAGATAAGAATGTGTATGCGATGATTCCGGAGTTACAAAAATCATGCCATCACATGTTTTAGACGCTCTAGCTAAAGTTCTAATTAATGAAATATTAGCTGATGATAGCCTAGCACAAGATCTACCTGATTTTAGGCCACTTTGTGTCAGAGGATAGCGTAGCTTTAGTAGGATATCTATGGTATATTAAGAGAGTTTTTAGTATGGTATAGCTTTATATTGCAAAAGGAGTATATTGATGGTAATGTTTATTACTCTTGATTCTAAAAGTAGAAAGAGATTTAGTTATAATCTTAGCGCTAAGCTCTATACTAGGAATTTTCAGCAGTGGCCTGCGCCGTTTGTTAGGCCCTTCCTCAAAAGATGCTCTAAGTACCTAGAATAAGAAGCTACTTCCTATGAACACTTTGATGGAGAACAACCTTACTCCTATCTGTCAAAAGTGGGTTACAACTATTCTGAGCCTTTCAAAGCTACCTTGGTAGATTGTCACCTCGGCCACGCCGTAGTATCCTCCCTTGCCCCTCTATACTTTAGTTCAATATATGCTTCTGTGTATCCCCCATTCCTTGATACTGCCATTCAAGGAAATTTCGACCGCCTTTTCGCTCTGAAAAGATGGAAAATTTGGGGTAGTATATCTTCCCATAGGCATTAATTTTCCGTATCAGCATAACAGCAGCCTCTCCACATTTTCTTACAGCAGACAGCACTCTGCTTTTGTTACATGTTACAAGAAAAGAGACTTACAGGTAATGTAGATCTTTTCAACGCAAGCGATGCAACCGTCCAAATTCAGATGCGGAGAGTCCTTAAACCGCCTTACACCAAGGCGGGGAGCGGTGGCTCTATGCAACCAACAAGTGGGTAAGGGATGCGGCTCACGGAATCGAGCTTAGTCTTAAGACCAAGTTCTCTCCAGAGGACGAGGTACTGTGGGAGCTTCTGGTGCGCATGGCCTATTTCTACTTGCGAAGGCTTCGCAGCCAGATCAAGCCTTCTGAACTGGTACTTATGAACAAGCATCGACGAAACCTGATGAAGTAGGTCAGGGACTACATTTCCCCAGATTGAAGCAGGAAAGTTTAATCTTTATTAAGGCAGAGTGTTCAGATGATATATTGGAAGATGCGCAGCAATGGAGCGCTCTCTATGTTGTAGCACGCAATAAGCTCAACGCCTTTCTTCTGTTCCGTCATCATATCTCATGCGATGAACGAGAACTTCCAAGTACTTCGGGCGCCGCTTTTCGTCGCTTCACGTCCGGCAGACCGGCCAGTCGGCCATGTTTTGGTAGTCAGTGATGTGGTCTTGGAACTTGCATCCAAATCACAGACATCCATCTGTTCTCACGGGGGTGTTTCCTGGTGTGATCTTATAGGACTCGAGGATATCAAGTGACCTATTGGAGGAGTTGTGCTCCGTCTTTGCGACCTGGAAAGTCCTGTCTTCGGCGAAATGACCAAGATAAGATTCGAAGCCATGCACACTGTCTTCCGCAATGCCAATGCTATCCTGTGGGTGACCTCAGGTGTGGCTTGGGGCAAGAATCTACTGGCAAATGTGTCGGTGGGGTTAGGACATAAGCTGCTGGCTGAACGTAGTGATTTGCGGCTGTAATTCCTTAACATCGACGAGCCAACATCTCTTGAGCCATCTCTTCTCGCAAAGATTCTTCTGGGACTCACTAGAAAGGGCTAGCCTAGTCCAAGCGAAATTCTCTTGGCTTACGAACCCCATCTCGTACTCATAGACAGCGCCTTTTACATTCCTAAGGTCCTGCCTCTAGATAGCCTTAACCGTTAGTCTACAGTGAAGAACCGCCAAAATAACTAGTTGACTAATGGTGCGTTTACAGATACAGCTGTTGAGGTGGCAAAACAGGACACTGTCGATAAAGGTACTACTGAGCGCAAGGGGACATTCGCCACCGACAAGCCGTACATTCTTTTCGGCATGACGGGTGACCTTGGAATCTCTATTGCTTGCTAGATAGTAGATAATGGGGCTTAAACCTCGTGTTGACTAGCTAACATCCCTGATGTTCTGGCCAGAGTGTTCAAATACATGTCGCAAAAGGGGGCCGTGTTGCGTGTCAATTAGTGGGCGTGACGAAACAAAGAAGGCTTGAGAGCGGCCTACACTAAGACCAAGTCTAGTATGTAGCGCATTGGGGGTAATTATCAATAGTGCTATACTGTTTTGGAACCGCCCCTTAGTCAACGTATCCTGGGATAATTTTAAAGCGGTGCTCGCGCGAAAGATTCTGGGAATTCAGAACCTTAACGAGGTCTTTGGTGAAGATAAGGCGTTGAACTTCTTTATTATGAAATATTAGGCAGTTGGTCTACAGTGCACTAAGTAAAACAAACTATTATATAGCAAGCCTCATACGACGTTAGCATGATGCGATATGTACCTGCTTATTGCCTAGATAGTTTTAGGCTAGCGCAGAATCTCTGTACAAGTACTGGTGGTCAACTTGTACGTTAGATTAAGGATTTAAGCTAAATCCAAGGACATACTCCTGAGGCCCCACCCCTAGCTATCTGTTATGCTGCCAAGACGCTACAGTAGAATACTAGTAGTGAAGGTTCCTTGATCGTCAGACTGGGTTGATTTGAACGACCTGACTTTATCTAACACAATTTTGATGATAAAAAAGAAGGAACTTCTATTCTATGTTCCTACTGCCCACAATAATTATAAATGCATAGAAGGCTATCAAGATGCGTGGGGGACTTGTACGCAGGCCGAAAATATGGTACCCTAAACTACCTATAATGCTTTCATTTTGTTATTCTAACGGCATATTGTTAACAGTCTCTCACAAAGCGTACTTGGCTTTGATACATTATAGGTTTTGCAGAGCACGACAAGATTGGTCCACTTGACAGTCCTAGACTCCTAGTTAAATGCATAAGGTAGCTAGCCTCAAACAATCCAATTCCTCTTTGGATACATTAGTTTATTTGAGAATTTCTAACCGCTCTCTTTTTTAATCTAGTCACATTGTCGTACCAGATAGATAGTGTCCTAACGGAGAAATGGCAGTAACTCCTTGGTATAGTCTTCTGCATGGTTTTCTTAAGCAGCGCCCTTCGCGTTAACATTATCCCACTTGCTTAACAAGCTAACAGGAACAGTGATCCCGCAGGCCGCGATAGTAATTGCGAAGGCAACCTTGAGACCCTATGCGTAGGCACGGATAACACCCTCTAGCTTAGCTCTAGAAAATATTTGGTGCAGCTTAGTGGCGCCGGTTTCCGTGACAAGGATAGGATTAACGCTCAGTGCGGTAATTGCAAGTCTTTGTCTGAGCTGGTTCACAAAGCCAGCTTGCGCGGCTGCGAGCAGGAATATACCACCTAGAGATTAAGCGACTGTGCAAAAGGGACAAAGTTAGTTTTAGGATAAATTAGGGCTAAGGACAACTCACATATAATAATCGCAGTCGTGGGAGCAATATCTGCTGGTGTAGCAAAAGCCTGCGCAACAATGACCGGGACTTGCAGAGCGAGGCCGTAGCCAAAACCCGCAAAGATCTGATACCCTATCCATTTGCCTGTCAAGGTGTTAATGTTGAGGGTAAAGAATAAGCTAGTGGCGATAGTTACGATCACGGAGCTAACAGTAAGATAAGGTGCTGCATTACCTATCTTAGTGATAATAGTGCCTGACCTATATGTGGCAATGCTGAACAGGACAATAAGAGGAATGTTGCGCACACCGGAGCTAATTAGACTAACGTTGTCGATACTTTAGAAGTAGATAGGCAGAAAATAGAGGATAACGAAATACGAGCCAGCGAAGAAGAAGCCCTATACGGCATTGACCTAGACGCTCCTTTAGCGCACAAGGCGTGGGGTTAGCATAGCGCGTTCGCCTTGCCATATTTCTACTATGGTTAGTGCCATCATTATGGCAACGAAGCCGACGAGTAGACTGATGATAACACTGGAGTTCCACGCATAGGTTACACTAGCATACTGAAGAGCCAAAAGCAAGGTAAGTGATGCACCCATCACAAGCGCCGTCCCTAAGAAGTCTATGTGGAGAAGCTTCTCCTTGAGCGTAGTATCGACCACCTTAACTGCTTGAGGAGTCTTGAAAGTGAGTAGGATGACGAAAGCAGCCAGACCGCTAATTGGAAGGTTGATGTAAAAGCACCTAAAATTCTCGTTTTAGCTTAGGCCCAGTTATACCACGATTCCATGACTGAAATTAGTGCAGTTTTATAATACAAAGTGTAAACTCACTATCTCCACGACGCCCTGTTTGTAAGTCCCCCACTAATGAGTGGCCCAGCGACTGCAGCAATACTATATGACATACTAATGATCCCCGTGTAGGTAGCTCGTTTTGTAGGCTCTGCAGCGAAGGCAGAGATTGTATATACTCTAGGCGCGATACCCAAGCCACCAAGTCTGGAGATTGCGCGTCCAACGATAAGCGTCACTGAGTTTTGGGCCACAGCGGAAATTAAACTTCTAACTTCAAAGATAAAGATCGCCACTAGGAAACTAGTTTTGAGGGGAAAATACTTATACACTTTGCCCCACAGTGACTGGAACGCTCCAAGCGTCAGAAAATATGCCGATGCGTACCACGATATATCATCAAGTTGGTTGAATTGGTCGGTAATCTTGGGAATAGCGGTCGCAACAATGGTCTAAATCGAGAGAATCAGCTCACGAGTCCATGGTGGGTTGGTAAAAGACGACTTTGCGAAAAGCTTGGGGCAGTGGAACTCACCTGATCTAGAGAAATGAGGGTGATACTCAGCACGAGAGCAAGCATGATAGCCAAAACTTCTATACCCTTCGGGTAAGAAACGGGTGGTGGTTGCGGCGCATACATGGCTCTTTCTTCAGTAGCAGGGGCATCATCCTTGAGAATTCCTGACTTCTTCACACCATTGATAGTTGAGGTAGGCGAAGTTGTTGATCGAAACATGTGTGTTTCTCGTATGGCTCAATTGCTCCGGCTTGTTGTATGACTCACTGTGCTTTGGAAGCTCGATCACGAAGCAATCAGGTATATAGACTGGGCTGGTGAAGATTATAGAGCTAATGTACAGAGGCGCATTCCTAAATATTGTTTTAATGTAGCTCATAGCCTTCATGTAGAGCTCTACTGGGTCCCTGCCAGTGTTCGAAACGCCGCCTAAGTCCGCGAACCTATTAACGCCGCTAAGTTAACGCCGCTCATCCAAAATAGTAGACATAGTACTGTGGTATTTAGCATAGGATTTATTGGTAGGGAGGTAGGCAGGGGTGCCTTGTGTTAAGGCACAGCTTTACTACGCTATATCCCGTTGCAAAAGGGTCAACCGTCAAATTGTCTACTATGTCGGTTTGATAGAGTCAAATAGTATGACATAGGTGTTGATTTGGCCCATTTAAAATTTATTTGAGGACTAAAAAGAAGGCAGAAGAAAGAAACAGAGGAACAACAACCCTGCTAAAATAGATTACAAAATTTTGAAAAAAGAACTCCCACTTTAACGTATCCTGTTTGAACTATTCGAATCCAACGAACTATCCATTCTCCCCATGAACGACTCCAATTATCTGTCCATCTATAGTAAAAATATAAATATTCAGCACATCCTTAGCCTCGATACAGACAGGCTCTCATGTTACCGACAACAGAATAAAGCGAACTTTGTTGCACTCGCAGCATGAGTCGCACACCGCGCTTACCAGGAGACGGATCAGAGAGAACATGTCATTACCATAACCAAGCAAGAATAGGACGAGACATAAGTACAAGGATGCATGTTAGGATGAAGGATTGGATGTGTTGGGTGACATGGGAGATGTGATCGGGGTTTAGGGGGGGATGAGGACTATGAGAGCAGTATCTCGTATCTCTGCATCATCGTATCGATAGATGCAACAGTCAGGTGAGCTATGAAAAGGACCGATTACTGTAATCTAATTGCAAGCTGTGTCTGCACGGAATCATGGCCTGGATATCCTCAAGTTCCTTTTCTGTCTTGGTCGTGCCCCGTAACGCAGGCGAATAGCCTTGTGAGCCAAGAACAAGAAAACAGAAAGAGAAACAAAAAGATACAGTTTAAATGCTCAAGGAAAGGAGTCCCTATATTTTAACGACACCTTATCTCCTTCACTTAATACAGGAGCTTCCTTGCTCTATTGGTTATCCTACTTTCTTACAATTATTGTATAAAGTATGTATATAATCTAGACCAATTTTGTAGTGACTCTAAATTCTAGGGTTAACTTATCTGATTTATTATAGGCAATTGCTTTCTAAGCTAGTCTACCGGTACTACAATAATGTATCAAGCCTCCAACTCGCTCACGACATACTTGTGGTAAACAGCGGCACCGTGCCACATAAGGGTCAAGTCTAGTAGCTATAAATTGAACGTATGAACCGATGCGAGGTTAATTTGCAGGACGTTGAAGAGGCACATTATGATTGGACAATGAACTGCAAGTCGTCAAGCTCTATCCGCGTACGCCCGAAAGCAGCCAATTCATGCCGTCGTTAAGAGACTGCCATGTATCAATATACCACGTAAGTGCCAACTCTATAATGGCAGATCGCAAAAACGCAGATGTACACAGTCTGGCCATGACTACTACCGAACGCGCACAGAGCGAAAGTTCTGACGATGACAACATGCCCGTACATGTTATAACGAGAGAGGGCATCGATAGAATGCTGGCCCGACCGCCTCCCACAGGTCCAAACGTCGTCATGTCTCCACTGGGCGATGAATCGGTTCAGGGCTATCCCGGAGGTGTCGAACCCGACTCGCATGGCGCCCGCGAGATTCGAGGCGTTGTTGAGATTCTCGAAGGTGCGGGGATACCCTGCTGCATGGATTCTGAGCCAGCATTGATCAACCAAGGTACCGGACGCCTCATGATGGTGACAGTGGCATCGCAACATGATGAGTTAGAAGATCCGCTTAGCTAACAGTCATGTAGTGATGTGATGAGAAAGTATTGATTAAAGAATCTATGGACGAGAAGCCAAGGTGGCTAGATATAGATATCCCCACTAGTCCCAAATGGGTGTCTCCCAGACAACCCGGGATAGGGGAGTCGCCAATAGTGGTAGGCAGTCACCACCTTATTAGGGTAAGCACTATAGCTAATACAAGGTAAGCACTATAGATATAGAAATAATAGTCCCCTAAATCTATAGTAATTATAAATATATAAAGAAAATATCTATATTAGATAGTAAGCTCTAAGATAAGCTAATTAAGTTTCTCTAATATTAGGCGTAGTAGAGCTTTTATATATATATTAGCTAGGTTCTCTACTAATATAATATATTAGATAGTGTAATTATTAGCTAGGTATTACTTTTAGATAAAATAGTAATAAACGTGGATATATTTAGATTATAATATAAGTTTCTAATCTTAAATAAGTAATATAGCTAGCTTATTATTAACTAATAAATAGTATATTAGGGTATCTAGGAGTTTAGAAATAGTATAGCAAGCCTAGATAAGGTAGGAAGTAGTATATAACGCGGCTATATATTCTACCTTATAGGTGCTTTTAGCTATATAGCTCTATCTCTTAGAGGACTAGGAGATAATAAAGCTATTAATGTTTAGGATATAGCTAGAGAAGGATTTGCTAGTATCTAGATTAGATATATATAAGGCATCTAAATACATTATTATTATAGCTAGGTTTTAGTATATTAGATAGATAGTAATATTAAGGTAATAGTTAGATATTACCTAGATATATTATAATACCTAAAACGCTAATTTTAAGTGTAACTCTAAAGGATTTATATTATAGGAGCTAAGAAGCCTAATAGTATATACTAGATCTAGTTAACTTATAACTACTATAAAGTTAATAGAACTAATAATAGATTAGAACTTCTTCTGCCTATCCTTATTAACTAGGATATCTAATAGAGTTTATAGTAGGAATAAACTTAGGTTAATAGGCGTATATTAACTATTATAGTCTACTATATTATATTACTAAAGCACTACTTTAATATATATCCTCTAATAAAGTTAGATACTTTAACTATTTAGATAAATATCTGTTACAGGAGGGATATCAACCGGATCACGGAGCATCTTAATCCAATTAATCCTAATCAATACCCCTGTATGACCCACTATCTAATTAACTGCCAGCTTACTACCAAGTGCCTAATAAAAAGCAGGAGCTCTAGTAAGGAAGGTTTACTAATTATTCACCTTCTAGTAAGGGTAGCTAAAGCTCTATATATATAAGTCTAATTATAGTAGATATAATCTAATAATCTATCTCCTAAATTATTCCTAACCTTAGTAATCTAAATTTCTATAGTTATAAGCCTAGTTCGCGCTTTACCTTATTAAAGATCGTCCTATCTATTTAAGCGTATTATTTAACTTAGACACTAAGCTAGCAAAAGCTTTACTCTTTTGTTATACTATTTCTTAAGCAAAAGCTTACTTATTACTCTTCTACTATAAGCGAATAAATCCTAAAGGGGGATATCCTACTTACTAGATTAACTAACTAGCCTACCTAGTATATTCAATTCAGATACCATGCCCTAACTAAAGGGATCTAGGTAGAGGTAGACCCTAAGGCTCTAGATACTAAAAACCACTTTAAGAATAAACCTATTAAGCCTAATATGCTAATAGATATTGCGCTATCTAATACAATAAGTAAGCAGTACAAACTCTAAATAGCTTAGTACTAAGCCTGCTTATTAGATTAGGTATTAAAGTTATTAGCAATCTAAAACCTTTTTATATAGGTTAATAATATAGTAGATTAAGGGATCCTTACCCTAGCCTATATAGAGCTTGTTAATTAAGGAAGAGTAACCCTCTAAGCACTTATCTAAGTGCTCTGCAACAACCTAGCGCTAATAGATTTAAGCGCTGCAACACTAGCGAGATTATAGTATAAAGCTTATCTTACTAAGGCAAAAATAAGTAGCTAAGACGCTAATTACTAGTAGAAGGAGTGGACAATCCTATATACATAAGCTAAGGTATATAACGTTCCTAATATTAAAGGATAGCTTATAGTATAGGATTATCTTAAAGCTCTATCTACTAGGATCTTACTAGATTAGGGTTAAACTATATTTTAAAGGATTATTAAAAAGTTAGTAATAGGAGAGCTAACTTACAACCTCCTATAGGTTACTAAGATCTATTTATTACTTCTCTAAGAAAACAACATAAGATTAAGCTCTAAAGGACCTAGAGTGTTTATAATAATAGGAGCTCTACCTTCTAATTAACTAAAGAAGGAGTCTTTATACCTATATAGTAGATCTTACCTATAGAAACCTCCTAAATATAAAAATATTATTAAAGCTTAGACTAATATAGGTAACAAGCTTACTACTACTTAATAATTATAGATTAAGAAAAAGATTAATAGGAATTAAAAATTTAAAGAGTTAAGAAAAGCTCTAATTAAGTCCTATCCTATTAATCAAGATTATAGTAGTAAGGCAAGCGCGATCACCTATCTAGGTAGTATCTAGGTGGCACTAATTAACCCTATATTAATAGCAGAGAAAACAAACAGGATCTATTTAACTATAGACTTTAAAGCTTACGCTCTATTAAAGAGCACTATCTTTAATAATAGGGGTGCAGTGCACCTAGTTAATAATATAAGCTACCTAGAAGAAAGCTTATTTAGATTAGTTAAATATAAGATAGTTAAAGCAGGAACTTAAGCTTTTCTAATCTTAGGCAGAGGGACTAGAGTAATCCCTAATACTCTTAATAGACTAAGAGGTCCAAAAATAGAAGATTTAGTTCTTACTAACGTAGTGTTAGTAGAAGGTTTTTATATAAATATTATATTAGAAGCTTAATTACTTAAAGCAGGAGTTTAGTTCCTTAGGCTAGATACCACCTTATAGTTTAGATTATTAGAAAAGAGCGTTGTATTAGCTAAGTTACTACGCAAGTTTAACTTAACTTTCCTAGAATATAAGCCCTCTACTCCTTATCTAATAATCTAAAGCATAGTGCCTAAATAATCCTAATAATCCTAGATAACTTACCTAAGATATAATAGTAAGGAGCTTTAGCACTAACAATTAGGCTATTTAGGACCTAAGGCGCTTAAAGCTCTAGTTAAGTTAGTAATAAACGTTAGGATTAAAGGAACTCCTAGGAGCAAATGCGAGCACTACGCTATTACACATGCCTAATAGGTTATATTAAGATAACTAAGGGAAAGATTACTACGTCTATACTACTAGGTATTATAGGATCTATTTAACATACTAACAGGTATAGCTTATAAGTAATAGATCTTAGTATTAAAGTGTAACTACTTAGGAAAGCTTTATACCTATCTACTGTAAGCTAAAAACCTTAATAAGATTATATAGGTGTTTAAAAATTTTAAGAGCTTAATACTTAACTAATATAAGCTTAGTATAGTTAAGATTATGCAAGATAACAATGTTGCAACACTCCCTTAGTGTGGCAAATCTTGCTTTTAGATCTAGGTAGCTAATAATAGTATTAAAATTAAGAGCTTACCTATATATACCTATAAACCTAATAGAGGAGCAGAAAGAGTAGGGCAGGAGATTATAATAAAATTAATTAAAATAAGAATTAGTGCTAACCTACTAACAAAGCTCTAGCCTAAAATTGTTAAAGCAGCAACTTAGCTCTATAATATAAGCCTGTCCTATGCTTACAATATAATATTACCTAACAAAGTGCTAGATTATTAGTTTACTAGATACTTTAGGTAGTGGCAACTAGAGTAGATAAGGGAGGTAACTACTAATCTCTACCCTAATTAGAGCGGAATATACGCCTATAGCTATTAAGCTTACCCCCTTAATAGAGATTAAGTAGCTAGGCGTTACAAGAGGGTTTTTAAGGTAAACCCTTAGGGTTATATTAGATATCTAGTAGGATACAGAGCATCTAATATATATAGGATATAGATCCCCTTGCTTAATTAGATTATTATAACGCAGAATATTACCTTTAATAAGGATCTTTTCTATAAAGAGAAAGATCTAGAGTAGCTTTAATAGTTAGAGGCTTAAAAGATAGTTAATATTATTAGCAAAGATAAGATCTATAATACAGGAGAAGCATATAAAGAGCTTAATATCTTTAATTAGCTTTATATTGCAGCAGAGCAATATAAGGAGTCTAGTAAGTAAGGAGAACTAAACCTAGCGCAGGAGCTAGGGGGTAGGGTAGAGCTAGAGGAGGTAGATAATTAGGCTAGCTAGCCTAGTAATTCACAACCCCCTAAGCAGACACCTCTAGTGTAGGTACTAAGCACAGCTAGCTTAGCACAAAGGATCTATATAAAGTCCCTTAAGCTAATAGGGCTCTAAACTCCTAAACTAACACTAGAACTAAACTTTAGTATAGGAGATAAAGGATCTATATAGGTTATAGATTAGGGTCTTACTACCTAAGATAGTAGTAATCTAACTTACTTTAACGCCACAATAGGTAGCTCCTAGGAAAGACCTAGAGGGGAGAGTGCTATTAGTAGGTCACTCTATAAGAGCATAGAGATAGGTAAGGGCACCTTATCTAGCTCTTATAGGGGTAGTAAGCAGAGCTCCTACCTACCTACTTTAGGACTAGATTCTGTATCTCCTGTAGATCCCTTACAAGCAGCACCTAGAGCTCCTAGAAGAAGTAGAAAACTATAAGTTAAAGGACTGCTACTAACGCGTGTTAGTAAGCAAGCTTAGGGACAGGACCCTAATAAACTACTAGGAGGCTCTATAAGTGTAGGGATATATATAGTAATAGATCTATTAGATATAGATCTAATTAGAAATCCCTTGTATAATCTTTTAGTATATCCTAAACTAAATACTATAATCCACGCTATAATCGCAGTAGTAATAGGGAGCAAATCCTCTAAAAACCCTAAAAGAAATACGCACTAGGACGCTCTATAAAAAGAGCTAAAATA